AGATGGCCGCTTGTCCTGAGTCTGGTTCTAAAGGTTTCTTACTCATGACGGAGTTTTTCATTTCCACTGTCACCTTCATGCTTGCTCAAGATGAGAGTCCTGCGATGGAGGTAAACACAAAGCAGTCTGCTCCTCAGATAAATAATGTTAAATTATTATTTTTATATATGAATGTTTCTGTTCAATGCTCTGAGGTGACTTGGAGCTAAATAAATAAATAAACTGAATTGAATTTAATTAAATTACAACATTTTGGTTTAAATAAATAACTCAATAACTAAAGTAACTTTTTTTTTTTATCCTGACTGGTCTCCTTCATGTGTACAAAGTTTACAGACAACATATTTACTGTTTTGTGTTTTGTATGTACATATATTTAATGAATTCATCAAATCATCATGTGAATTTTACTGAAAAGACATGAAAAATCAAGGACTTGTTTACAAAGAGTTCACTCCTGCTAATGTGAGCGGGGTGTGAATGCAGATAACTTTAAACCAGAAACAAACTGTTGAAAATAAACCTATCATTTTTATTATCAATTTTTTTCATTCCAAGGACTGTTCAGTTTTCTTTCAGCAAGCTTTAGAGAAGACTCACACTGTCTAAACAATCTCAAAAAGCTGCTTTTTAAAGGAGTTGCAAACTACATTAGTTCTGCATGTTTGTGGATGTCATGTAGCTCTTGATTCTAGTCCCCTAGTCATCATTCTCTCTGTGATGTATCAAAACAGAACCGCTCGTCTCATGGCTGTTGCTGCCTGTAGCATCTGCTCCAGCATCTGCTGTCAGCAGCGATAGCTTCATCAGCATGGCTAACCAGAAAGCATACTGAATATACTCAGAATTAGTTAATTTTCATTTTTCCAGGACAGTCACAGATGATGAGATTTATGCTTCGCAGTAGTGATGATGATCATAATTGTCAGACAGCTATAGACTTTTAGAGCTGCACCTGATACCTTGCTTCAGCACGGGCGCTAAGTGATTTGTGGAACCGCTCAGAGAGAGGGGCAGCATCAGAGGTGCTGTGGAAGAATTTCAACAAGCTTCATGTGGTTGCCTCATGATTGGATTCACACGCAGCTTGTAAAAAAACACCTTGTGAGCCGTTAACAGAAACACTGAAGCTATCAAAAATCTTTTCTTTTTTTCCAGCTTTACTTTCTGTAATTACAGCCATGTGTTCCAAGCTCACTCCTTTCTCGTCTCTCGTGTGTATAGATGTGTGAGAATCTTTATATGGGGTTTCTGCTCGCATCTGCTTCTGCTCTGCTCTCGTTCTCAGTTCAAAGCGTATTGTATCTAATTTTATTGCGCTGAAAAGTAAGTTGTGACTCCTATGAGTAGACAATTTCTTATCAACCAATAACATTTGATTAATAGGAACAAAAAGTAAAAAATGGTAATAAATAATACCATTTTACCATTACCATTTAACCGAACTCCTGGGGATGTTTAGGGATGTGTCTGGTTGATTCCCTTTTTACAGTAGACCCTCGATTGTTGCGGGGGTTACGTTCCACGCACCCCCACGATAGGTGAAAAAACATGAAGTAGGAAAACTATCTTTATTTTAGTATTTATATATTTTAAGGCTTTGTAAACCATTCCCACACTCTTGCAATGTTCTAAACTCTCAAGCCTACGTAATTTTAACAACATATATGTATTGTACTACACCATTTTACATGGGTACTCACCAGCTCTGCAGAAGCTTGGTTCTAGTCGGGCTCAGCTACCCTGCAGCATGACAAAACCCACCACCCTGTCCAGGTTGATGTGTTCTTGTTTTTAGTATTTCACCCTGTTTTACGGCACGCTGATTTGTTTTATACACTACTCTTATTTTAACTGCATTTTTGCTGTAGTTTATTGTCATTGTTTACCGTTATTGTTGTCTGGACTTTATATATTCTGTCTGGAACAGGTCCCTCTTGTAAAAGAGTCCTTGTGGCTCACTGAGGTTAGCCTGTATAAATAAAGGTTGAATGAAATGTGTGTGTGCTGCCACTCCATGAAGGACACTCCACGCGCAAGGTTGCCCAGGATATAGACCACCACCTCATCCCGCAGCACCATGCGACCAGAACCAGGCCGAACCCCGCTGCGGTCTGTTCCCTGCAGCTCCCAGGATTACAGCTGTCATTTCTAACCCGAACCCGGCGCCCGGCCCCGCCCGACCTGGATTCAGACCGGCCATAATAACGTGCTTAATGTGTAGGCTGGGTCGGTGTCGGGCTTTTAATTGCGTCAGGAACGCGTGCAGCTGACGATCCAATATATGCAAACACTGCTTGCCATACTGCAACTGCCGCACATGGCCATTTGACCGCGCACTGATCAGCTGGTTGAAAGAGGTAAAAAGTTCAGTTAAGCTTCAGATGGACTACTGCCAGCAATCCATCAGCCCAAATGGACGTTCATTCAGCTGCTGCACTCAGTGGACGTGCGCAGCCGAGACCCGAACAGGTGAGTTCACAAAATATCTGACATGTCAGAGCAGGGTCCAATGCAGGCAGCAGCAGGGAAAGTGTGTAGTGTGCTTTGATGGCTCTTCAGCTCTGATCTTCTGCCTCCTCAGCTGTGCGCATCCGCCAGCCGTTAATAATAGGTGGTGGTATAAACAGTTAAATCTTAATTGAAAATGTCAGGGTTTTTTCCGGGTTCGGACCTGTAATTACTGTTAATTCGTCGGATCTGGTGGGGTTCGGAGATGATGGCTATGGACTGGGGCTGAGTCAGTTCGGATTTTGTGGACCCGAGTGCAACTCTACCCAGGATCCGGGTCACACTGAGTTCAGACCAACTGCAGTCCAGTTACTCACCAGTGAAGATACAACTTGAAGGATGAGTTCAGCAAAATGATTATTTGTGACTTTCCTGCCAGATCTGTGAGCTTAATAGATAGCGTAGATTTGCGCTGAAAAACTTTCCCTCCATTTCGGCAGAAATCAGTGGCCGGAAGCACTGTTGGCTTCTGGGTAGTGTAGTTCTTTTTGATTGGTGTTACAGTATAGGTTTATTGAAAGAAAAGTACAAAATATAGTTCTGGTAATTATTAAATTATTCTGGTAATTCTGTCCAAAGTATTTTTTTCGTTAATTTTTTATCTCATACTGTCCCAATCGCATGAGTAATAGTAAAGTTGACAATTGTTGAAAAAAATGTGAAAGAGCAAGTCCACGAAAGTTAAAACACGAATTAGCTAAGGACTACTGTACTTCTATAACTTCCCAATAGTTTGCATGGAAAGTTTTAATAAAAAAAAAATTCACTCTACTCAGTCCCGCAGAAAATCTTAAATAAATAATATTTATGCTTTGTTTTCTTGAGCAAACCTTTTGATCAGTCATTCGTCTTTGCATCAAGGAACAAACATAATGCAATCATTGTTTAACATCAACTCTGAGATAATTACCAGTTTCTGATGAGTCCTTCTGGAGCAATCACAAAGCATTGAGAGAGGTTACAAATTAACAACGTTGACTTTTGTGTTCTTACTGGGGTTTCTGGGGAAATTATTCAATTTACACTGTGTTCTTAACAATGATTTTTATTTGTCTTTGTGAAATAATTGGAGAGTTTTAATTCTTTTTCAGGCTAAAAACAAACCACAAAGAAGTTCATTTTTTTAAAGGTTTTATTCATTTCATATAATACTGACACATGTACTCAATAGCTGTTAACAGGCGTTTTTAAAAACACAGATATTAAAACCAGTATAGAGCATTGATTTGTTTTTAGCCCCCCTTGATTCCACCGACCATATTTTTTTATACGTTTACATGTTTTAATATACCATAACATATACTCTGTATTAGTGTAACCTCATCCCTGAAAGGACCTTGTTTTCTGGACAGAAAAAAAGAAAGAAAGAAGACAAACTGTCTCTGTATTTAAAAATGGCATGTGTTGAGCCATGTACTACTCAAGGTAAAATATATTTATGATGTTGGAATTTAATAAAGAAAAAAAAAACATAGAGAAGAGATTCATTTCCAGATCAGAAAGACATTTTGACAGCATTGAGCAGATTGTATGTGGCACAGTAAATTTAAATATATCACCCAGACTACATGAGGCAAGCATTCTGGATCTTCTTCTTGTTTACCATAAAGACATTTTATTTATAACTTTCAGCAAATAAAATCTCTCAAAAAAATCCAGACTTCATTTCTTTGCCATGTCTACGTGGAACCCAACTCCGCCAAAAAGAGATGAAGAATATAGTTTTTTTTGTAAAGTTACTGTCATCTAACTATGTTTGGGTCATAGTTCATGTTCATGTTTTTTGTAGCATTAAAGGATTGTGGGTGGTGTAGTCCTCTTCTGTAAAAGAGCCAGGAGAGTCAGAATGTTGAGCATTGACAGTGAGCTGTGTTAGAGTCCTGTCTCTTCAGCCACTGAGTCCTGGTCATACTCGGAAAAATTCAACAGTTTCGTATAGAAATCCATCTGAGTGTATTTCTTTCATACTTAAAAAGTTTATTGTCCTTCTGAAAAGACTTCTGCCACCAGTTCCTCCTGTTCTTCTTCATATGGGAAGGACTATCGGGTCACCTGGAACACAAAGAGAAATAAAACAGTGGTCAAAGCTCATGAGGTGATTTAAATACCTCAGAGACAAACTGAAACTGTAAAGGATAAAGACTACAGAGCGAGAGCAGCAGTGTGTCAATAAGTGGGCAGGAGTTCTTATCAGTGAGATGCTGCACATTGGAGAGTCACTTCTTTTCACCCAAGAAAGTAAACAAGACAGCTTGAGTCGGGGCAACCAGCCCACAGAACCTCACAGTCAGCATCTGGCCATCTTGTTAACATCTATTTGTTGAGAGAGCTGCTCTAATCACTGTCTTTATCACATCAGCCCGTCTGTCCATGTTCTTAGCTCATACGCTCAGTTTTATCACCCACTGTTGAAAGCAGGAGGCAGTAATATTTTGTGTGTGTGTAGCGTTAGTTAAATATCCCAAGATCAGGGCTTAATTTGAGCCTGCTGGAACAGGATCCGGGAATGCTCTTATTTTGACAGGCTGCGTTCCGGTAACGGTTTGCTTGGATCCGGTGACTCTCGGGCTTTCTAATAATGAAGTTATGAACAAATATGACTGCCTTGAACGAATAAAACTTATATTGGATATGTAAACTGAAAATAGTTACATAAACACTCTTTTTAAACACAACAGCCACTTACGAGTTTCTTAATATCACCTACGTGCTCTTTCAAGTAAGCATTTCCGCCTCTACCCTTAAAAAAATCTCCGCCCCTAAAAGTTAAAAGTTTGCGCAATTTTATTAAAAAACTCAAATATAATTAAACAGCACAACACAATTGCAAATCATTTCAACAGTTTAAGTGGGTTATTAATAAAATGTTGATTATTTATAAAAAATTCAACGAGATAAACATTTGATGTGTATTATTCACATTGAGTGTTAATTTGTCAAACTAACAGCTAGGATGCTTGACAGGAGTGTAGGTAAAGGTAGATATTTAACAACCCATTAAAATACACCAAAATGCAGGAAATCGCATCTACTTTATTAAAAAATTTCTGGGGGAGGACCCCCCAACTCCTCCACCGGCCTACCTGCTATTTGCGTTCCAGCATCGATCGGTTTACAAATTAAGCCCTGCTCAAGACAGCGAACTCAAAATCTGATTTTAATGAAAAGCTCAAACATGAATAATTCACTGAATGTTTATAACTGATTTCGGTTTTGAAGTCAACATGATTCAAGATGGCCGCCCCAGCTAGGCAACATTAGCAAAAATAAAATTGGTTTTAGTAGCTTGGAGTCATCCTCAAAACATGCTAGTACTCGAAACATTCAGAGTGCGATCACATCCTGCATAAACTCATAATATCGGATGAGTTTGTGAATAACTTAATTTACAGGTTTTAACCTAAGCAGATATAATTCCGTCTCTTCTCAGCACAAGCCAAATTGAGTTTAAGATTATTGTTTGGAACGCAGTGGACGATATGCATCCCATCAAGAAATGATAGCACTTTAGTTTATTTTAATTCTACAACCAAGAATGAACCATTGTGTTTGAGCATGTCCACAGACTTTGAGACCTGCATGTTTTTTTTCTTTACTCCGTCTCCTCTCCTCAGCTTCAACACATGCCTTTCCTTTTCTCGTCTTTGTTCTAGTCTCTCTTTTCTTCAACCAGATGACCATATGTTGCAGTTAACTGAGTGCGAAGGAATTTGCTGAGACAGCTCAGCGTGCTCTTCAAGTTGACAGCTGAACCTGTTCAAATGTATCTGCTCTATATGGCTCCAGGCCACCCTCCCTAGGTCCATTCCCGTTGCCTTTAGGCATTCACCACTGTGCCTGATCAAATAGTCTGCTGGAGTTTGTTGTCATGCCAGTTCACTCTGTTTTACACTTGAATTGCTGAGTCAGCTATAGTTTAAGGTGCAAAGACAAAATTCCAGATAGTGCTCGTTCATTCACTTTCAAAGTATATCTGTAGCTTTTCCTTTTTTTTTGTTTTGTTTAGCTTTGTTTTTTTTTTTTTTGTTGCATTTTTTTTTTTTATGTCCAGAGGCCCAGAATTAACTTTTTTGGATTTTTCTACCTGGATTATTGAGCATGCATCGGGATATAGCAGTCAGTTTCTGTACTTTACTCTGCAAAGCAAATGTGGTGCTTGAGTTTAATTCATTTTTTGGCCCACATTTATCTAAGATTATGACATTTTTTGCTTAACATACCATATATTCAACAAAGTTAAGTCAGGTCCTCTGGACAGTTTCGTTGTGTTGAAACATGTGTTGATGTTTAGAACCACTTTGGCTATGGCTGCCTCAAAGGAGTCGACGGGGGAGAGGGAGGACTCCAGAAACCATCTTATCACCATGAAACTGGTTAGCCCACTATGTGAGCGTGCTACTTATGAGACTGAGTTTGTTGTTGCCCCTCAGACTGATGAAGTCCTTTGGATGAAAGACGAAACATTTCAACACAAAGAAAACATCCAGAGGACCTGAATTAACTTTGCTGGATTTTTAACCTGGATTATTGAGCATGAACTTTGATACCATATTGTTCATATGGTAACAGGCAAATGTCCTGATTTTGCTGCTTTTATAAATTGGAGGGGGGGGGGGGGTGTTCCTTAAAGCTGCACTGCAGCTGCTTGATTTTGATATTATAGAACCAATAGATTTTATAATAAATCAGTGTCTTAATAATTGAAAACAATCCCACAAATAAAAAAATGTATTTTAATATGACTGAAGATGAAAAATAAACTTCAGAGGTAAAAGTATAAAATAACAAAGATTATTAGTGTGGTATACCATGATTGCTACATTTATCACATGCTCTTTTATTTAAAGTAATTTCTTCTGTGGCATTACATTTTTATTATTTAAATTGCCATGTAGTCTTCTAACTTGTTGGTGTTTATTTTATTTTATGACAAAGTGCAGATTTATTCAATCCAACAGCATCAACTGCCAGCTACTTTTGATGTAAACAGATCCATGTGAATATAATACACCATCTCCTTGTTGTTTTAGCCGTTTTGTGATTGATTTAGGCAGTTCAGTTCATGTCAAATATTCGCCTTCTGGGATTTTTCTTCTTCAGTTTATTTTTTGTAATGCAAAGATCACTGTAAATTCCAACCACCCAAAAGTTTTTCGATCTGCAGAAGGCTTGGATTTGCTCTTTGTGTTTGAGAAATATGCTTCCAGAATGCAGTATGGTCCTTCTAAGATGGTTAATAGTTGTTTTTTTGTGTGTTTTTTTCTGGCTGCAGCACCTGCTCAGCCACAGAACACGGGGACTGAAACATTTCCTGCATTGCTGACATGACAACTTTTCATTTGTCAAATGTTAATGTGACTCTTCGTGCATCTGCACACAATTGCTTTGCAGTCTGTGACAACTCGGTGGCTTGGCACCATGGCCACATCTGTCTGTTCATCCATATGATATTATTTGGCATTGATCAAGCTGTCTGCTCTCTCCTCCCTCTCCCCTCCTTCGGCCCTCCTACTCGCCTTCATTTTTTCTGCTTCCAGCCACAAATTAAAAGCGGGACCGGAAGGGTTACAGCCTTTTCTTTTTGTGCTTGTTTGTTGTCAGTTGACCTGTTTTGATAACCCATTTTTCAAGTTTTTCTTCCTGACTTCCTTCATCTACTTTACTCTTCACCTGTTTCTCTCATCCGTCTCCTCCTGCATTTTTCTTCCTTACTGCCGCTCCTCTTTCATCCCCTTTCTCCTGCTCCATCGTCAATTTCAATTTACGAGCGGGTCTTAATGGGACTATAAGAGAACGTTCGATGCTATTGATCGGGATGCCTGCGCATCTTGACCTCAGCGAACAACAACGGAGCAGAAAGGGGGAGGGTGGGATCACTCTTTTCATCATCAGGCAAACACATCAGCTAACACTTTCAAATAATGTAGACACAAACACACAACAGCAGATGAGCACAGATCATTGATCAAAGACCTGACTGCAAGAGACAGCAAATATTTGTGCTCTTTTAAGCTACGATAGCGTTAATGATAAGGCGATGCCTGACTGAATCCGGCTTGTTTTGATCTTGTTCAGGAAATTAAAAATGCACACTTTAAGGCTAAGACAATGAAATGCTTGAGATGAGATATTTGAATCAGTTTCTAACAGTCTCTCACAAAATTAAGAACTAATGCCTCTTTTCCACTAGTGCCACTACAGCACAGTTCAACTTGGCTCAACTCTGTTCAGCACGTTACAGGAGGTTTTCCACTGCACTCCAGTAGTGGAACTACTGGGCGGGTTCAAAGATCAAAAATTGACGCCACACGCCTTACCAGCTGGTGACGGTAATGCTGGTGGTAAGACCTTGAAACATGTTTCAGTACAGGGTGAGAATTTATTTTGAAGTTTCTGAATTAAAAATAATACAGATTATTAAAATGATCAAATGAAATAATATAAATATAAACCCTCCTAATTAACTTTTAATTAACTTTAGTTCACCTTTAAATCTCTGACAAAGCAGATTCTACAATAACATCTATATTTAAAATTGTATAGGTTTTCATCATCATTTGATGTGTTTCCAGCGTTGTGTCTACTTTTATTGTTCAATTTAGATGTGTGGTTTTGTTTCTTGTTCACAGATTTATTTATTTTTATTATTTTTAGCTTTGCTTTAAAGTTTAATTCTTGTTTTGTGATTTGTACATCTGTGGGTTAGAATGAAGTTGAACTAAAGGCTGTAGCTCTTCTTTAAACATATTTGATGGAAATATTCCTGAGAGATCCAATAATTGTGTGTCTTGATTGTGTCATTGATTTTTTTTCAGCTGAGTTGACTTTACCAGATTATAGTCAATAAAGTGAAAACAGGATTTCATGATAAAGCTGGCACAATTTTTTTTTTTTTTATCTTCACTGATAAAAACAAACAAACAAACAAAAAAAACAATTTTATTTTTATTTTTATTTTTTTTACATAAAATGTTTTTAAAAATCGTTTCCACCAGACGTGCCCCGGTCCACCCTTGCCTGCCAAGGCTCAGGCTCCGGGCCCTGGCATCGTGTGCTCCTGTGGGTCGGCAGCTCGGAAGATCCTCCACGGTGACTGGCAGAGCTCGGAGCCTGGCCTGAGGGGGCTCCAAGGTGGTGGACCGGGGGGGGGTGGGGGGGGGGGGGGGGGGGGGGTGGCAGAGCTCCATCTAGTTTACTCTGAATTTTTGTCGTCAGCCACCACACACAAAAAACGCCTGCACTTCAGCATAATGGACTATACTTATCTGACACCTTTCCATCTTATCAAGACACTCAAAGCGCTTTACAACACAATCTGTGTCCTCATTTACCCACTCATACAGCACTCTACTAGATCTATACAAAGCTAAATGAACACATCATTCTAAAGAGAATAATCAGTGCTTTATCACATTCATACACTGATGGGACACACATCGGTGACAATGTAGGGTTCAGTGTCTTACCCAGGGACATTTTGGCATGTGGAATCGAACCCCCAATTCTTACATTGGAGGAAGACTGCTCCAACCACTCAGCCACAGCTGCCCATAAGTCCACAGTGTGGTCATTATTGTTTTTAAAATCTTAAAAAAAAGGTTCACTCGCTTCTCTGAGTTATTATTATTGCAAATGGCGGATTGGGTTGTTGCTCAAACAACCAGTAACTCCACCCCATGATCAATCAGTGACCGACAGTGTTCTGACGTCACGTTTTAAGGTCAGAATGGTACACTTGGAACCGGAGCAATGTTGCTTCTGAAAAAGGGACTGGTTCCACAAATCAATTCTAGTGGAAAAGCCTTGGAACCATGCAGAGCCAAGTTGAACCGTGCCGTACAAGCGCTAGTGGAAAAGAGGCATACGTTTTTTGTTTTTTTATTGTTTGTCACACCAAATTGTTGACCTTTTGTTTGAAATAAGGGCTCTTAATTACATCAGAACCATTTAATATTGCCCACTGCTAAAGGTGAGGCAATGTTTTTGCCCATTATTGTGAGTTTGCACAATTATGGGGGTGTTTGACTGTTAGCAAAATATCTCATGATCCACTGAATAGAAATTAGTGAACTTCTCAAAAAGCAATACAACCTTTGGCGTCAGCTTAGCTTAAGTTTGTCACCTCTGCTAATCAACCTTAGCCAACACAAAAAATTGCTATAACTCAGTCAGTTTTAACATTTGGTGCAGTGGTAGCTGAGAGTCATGCTCAACAGGTTCTTTGAGGGCTGACACTTCTCAAGAGATCTTACATTTTTGCACAATATCACGCAGGACATCACTTATATGGTTTGACCAAAACGGCTATCCTTTCAGCAAAGGATGTTTTAAGTTTAAATCATTAAAGACGTCTGGCAATATGCATTTCTTCCAAAAATGCTAGGCCTTTAATGTCTATTTTTTTCTTTGAGATGTCACTCAGAAAGTTTGCCCACATTATGTTTTTGAGCAATCAATCTTAAATGTGAGCTTTTCAGTCATAGACATTAAATAAACTTAACATAAATAAAGAAAGGCAAGCTGAGAGGTACCGTCCTTTTTGCCAGGAGAGAGGTGAAAGGAGAAAAAGTAAGGAGGGCATCCTTAATCATCCCAGAGTACAGAGATGGTTTTAAGTCTCTTGAGGTTAACTCTGAGTGTTTTAAAGTCAAATCAAGAAAGAAAGCACATCTCAGATCTCATCGCTTTATTTCATCTAAAGAGTTGCACTCTTGATGCTCTCCCCGACCACGCCTTCAATCAATTATTTAGGCAGAAAACAAAGGTCTGCACCCAGCCATGAATAATGGAAGGCGAGAAGGATGGAGGTTCAAATCTGAACAGCACTGTGACTGGAGGGAAGCCTCACACAAACTTCCTTCCTACGGCAGACCACTTAAAGAGGCTGCTCTGGTCAAGCCAGTGAAAAGCAGCCGTCGGGTATAGTTGGAGGCTAAATATGGAGTAAACCTTCATGGTTTCACAATCTCACCAAAACAGATCAAACAGAAAAAGTACACAAAAATTCAGGACAGGAAGGGTGTTCCTCTTAACATACAAAGTGTATCATGGAAGAATGTGAGCACAACAACTCTCTGAGGACATTCTACTGTTATTGCGAATCGAATGTGGCAACTTGTTTTTACATCGAGTCAGATGGCATGCCACTGAAGAACAAGGAAACAGGACAAGTGAGAGTGAAGACAATTGTGATGTTCACGTTCAGTAATGTTTACGCTGGCCTTACTTTTGTGCCAAGAACGTTCAGTCCAAAATGGAAGAAGTAAAGTAACTAAATTTTGGCTGATGAAAGAGTGAAGTTCAATAAAAAGAGAAAACAGTGGACTAAAGACGAGATGCAACAAACTGTGAGAGGAGATGAATACACTTGACTGGAAAACAGGAAAAATACTAAATCACTAATTTGGAAATGATCACATGCACACTGACCTTTGTGGTCTTGACTTTGTTTCCCGTGCTGCAGCTCCACCCCGTGAGGTCCGGTAAAACCTTACACTCCTCACCTTCCATACACGGCTGCATCTGACACCACCACTTTTGGGCTACAATGGAGGCTAAAGGGAAACAAAGTGGTGGATTTGTTTTCAGTCATGTGAGGTTCCGTCCCTGTGCATTAGTGAATTTTGACATCAAGCTGTCCTGAGGCAGACTTCAGTCTAATATTCGCTCAGCTTCAAGGAAATAATTGTACATTTTAACCCAGTAATGTTCTAAGTGTGGCACACTGATATAAGCAGTTGGAAGCACTAATCCTTTATTCATTAAAACACTAAGAACGTGGTTACAGTATGATTGTGAAGTTAAGACAGCTGGCAAATCTAAAATTAACAAAGGCCTTCGTGGTGTGGAGAACCTGTCATTTTTGTTTGTTTCATGTGCCACTTTAATATTACAGTGCTGTTATCACTCAGCACAGACCTGATGATTTGCCTGCCACAGTTCCTCGTGTGCTTGTTTCATTAGAGCCAGTAAGTGGAAGTTCAAGTTATGTTACTCAAATATGTGAAGGACATTTCATTTGAAAGTATTTCCGATTCTTTGTTTCCACCTAACTGTAACAGAGTTCAGCTTTTGTTCTGAACAAATTGAAATCGTGTTTAAAATACAAAAAAAAAAAGTGATAAATATAGAAATAAAAAATTAAATTCTGAATAAAATCAAGACTTGCACTCAGATGTGAGTGCAACTACATTAAAACTTGATGAGCAACTCTTTTCTAGCAGGACATTCTGTGTTTACTGAATATCTTTGGCTATTGATCGGTTTTATATCATATTTTTACTTTGTGATAGGGCTATTAAACTGGTGGCCGAGGGGCCATATCTGGTCCACATGAGCTCAGTCAGGCCCACTGATAAGCTCATTTCTAATAAAACTATGTTTGAAATAGCAAATTAAATTGTTATAATATTAATAATAATAGTTGGTTGTCTGGTTCCTGAGATGTGAGTTTTAAGTAAGTGTTGCCCCCTGAGCGATTTAGTTGAATAATTGCTTTATGGTATATTTCAAGTACAAATGTGGTAAGTTTTCTTAAAGATCAATTAAAAACGTAATTTGTCCTATTTCAATGACATTTTGTTTAATTTGATGGAATTACAGCTTAATCATGCAGCTTTATGGGGCAATAATTAGTTCAGGAATGTAACACAGTTGGGTTTTTTATCCAAACAACATTTTTAATAATCAATGTTTTTTTTTTTTTATATGAGGGTACAATATAAGATGCTTTTGCAGACTACCAAACAATCTTTTGGTCAATCTCTGAACTCCCCTGGTACAGATCCACAAAGCTGTTTTTGTTTACTGTATGTCTGCCTTAATTTAGGTAATTCTGTTGTAAATATCAAATTAGTTAACGATAACCTAATCTTACTTGACTTCCATCTGGTCTTGTTTTGAAGTTTAGAAGTGAATTCAATGAAGCACCACTGAGAGTTGAGACAAGTAACTTTGTTGATGTTGCATATTTGATAAGAAGACGTAAAACAATCGTCACATCGGTTTGTGATTTCGTCTACCACTCTTTTCATGCTGCAGAATTAAAAAAATATGAACACTGGAATTGTAGCCAGAAGTTGTTGTTTTTTACTGTAACAGCAAGATTTTATATTTTCAAATAACAAGCATTACTGTGAATACTTGTTCTTGTGTAAGAGCTCAGATAAAATAAAATTATCAAACTCTTCTACTTTTTATTTTTTCAAATAACTGACTACATCCGTTATGATTATATATATATATATATATATATAAATATATATATATATATTTCAATAAATATTTGCACATACTGGCTACA